ACAGAACCTAACCTGTTTGGTGCAATTGAATAAATGAAACTGACAAATGCGTTAAAAAGAATAAGGGTCTGGGTAAATAATAGAGGAAACATGACTTTCTCTAGAATAACTTTGTTGCAGTAGGCCTTTAGTGAGATACAAAATTGTTGAAACGCAAAAGTGCATCATTTAACTTGATACTAGTCAAGTAATCAACTGAATGGTCTTTTTATCTTATTCTAACAGAGCCGGCATTTAATACTTAAAAAGGTGCCTGAGATGTGAGAAACAGTTGCCATTTTCTATCTTATTAGAAAAACCCCTTCTACAGCGAATTAATCTTCTGCATGTTCTCAATTAATATTTGACTGACTGACTTTTCTAACCTAGCAATATTTGTCAAAGACAAAACATATGCAAATTTAAACCTAAGTTTCGATTGAGGAGTTTCGATAGCCTGTTTATTCACATTTACAAAGTTTAAATAGCAAGTCCATTATTGCAACTGATGCCAGGCTAATCGAGTAAGGATTTCTATATTTTGTTTGCAATACCGACTTTTTGGGCTACAAAGGCAGACATGAATCAATCATGACATTCTTCGATTTATTAAACTTTCTACAAAAACTCTTTCATCGTGCATGGTGTGCATTTCAGAGACATAATTACTACCCCATGTCATCAGCCATAGATTTCTTTGGTTGCGGACACGCAGTATACCAAATAGTAATACCTTAATATTAGCTTAGTATTTACGACTTTCTTAGCATACCCCGCCCCATATCTTCTTTAGCAGCAACGTCAATGCACATGCAGCTTTTACTTCAATCCGTAGTTTGCGTATAATCCCTCCCAACAATAGGATAGCTCGAACATATCTCCTGACTGTATAACCGACCTACTGACGGAATGAAAGAATGACTGACTGACTGACTGACTGGCTTGCTTCTACGTGTAGTGATGGCTAAACAATGTAAAGAGAAGAGAGATACTTACTAATGTTGCCAAAGTATTTCTTGGGTGAGAGTGGTGATGGTGGTAGAGTGCGATCGGTAGGAGTCGTCCAACGCGAGGTGATTGACGTCAAAGAACGGAAAGATGATTTTCTTGTTGGTAGTTGGAATAGTGGATATGGATCAGAGGAGTGATTGAAGGCGAACTCAGGAGAGGAAGTCGAGACGGAGGAAAGGTAAAGGCAGAGGAAAGTAGATGACTTATACCAGCAGTGGAGGAGGGAGTGCAAGCGGGAGAAGAGGATTTCCAAGTAGGAGCCAGTCGTGGTCGCCTCAACAT